TGAAAATAAATTACCAAAAGAAGTTATTCTTGAACTATTTAAGTTGCAAGATCAAATAAATAAAAATAATGTAAGTCCAGAGTTTATTATTAAAAACATTTAAAGAGATTTAAAAGATAAAACAGATATAGAGTGTAAATTTTTTAAAACAGCAGATGATGTACCAGAACCTGAAAATCTTAACTGTAATAAAAATAATTTAATGATATTTGATGATTTACAATTAACAAAACAAAACAAGTGTGAAAAGTACTATATAAGAGGAAGACATAGCAATGTAGATTGTTTCTACTTGGCACAAAATTATTTTGAGTTGCCTAGGAGAACGATAAGAGAAAATGCAAATTTTATTTGCTTGTTTAAACAAGATTCAAAAAATGTAAATCATATTTATAATGATCATGTTTCAAATGATATGTCAAAAGAAGAGTTTAAAAACTTTTGTAATGAAGCTTGGTCAAAAAAGCACGGATTTGTTGTTATAGATTTGTCTTCTGGATTTATTGTTATAGATTTTTATAATGATTTATTAAATGGAAAGTATAGAAATGGATTAGATTTACTTTATTATCCAACTTTGTTGTGGAAACAATAAATATATATATTTTTTTAAAATATATATTTTTTATGAGATTTTAACAAACCTAGCGAAGCATGGGTTCTTTCAGAACTTAAAGAAGAAGACCTAATAATGGTATATTCTTAAATGGAGAATTTTCTCCTAATAATAGACCTCTGCCTACTGATGAATATTCATTTCCATTTTTAGAATAATGTCCATCTAAATAATTATAACTACCATTCCATGGGTTTAAAAATACTCCCTTTCCTACTTTTCTAATTTTAAATCCACTACCATTCTTTTTCACATAAATAATACCATTTCCAGCAATTTTATTAACTATAGTACTTCCAGCAGCTGCAGCTGTTCCAGTCAATAATCCTGTTGCTATAGCCGGAACAACTTTTGACGCAATTAAACTTCCAATTATTCCTAGTAAAGGTAGAAATCCACCATTTACTTTAGCATTATGTTTAAGTTGTGCTCTACTCAGTGAAAGTGTTATACCAGTATTTTTCATATATGCTGCTTTCATTCTATTTATTTGTGAATCTGTTAAAGCTATTTTATGTTCACCATTTAGATCTTGATGTGTTAATTTTATAACAGCATTAGTATCAGATTCAATTGCTTTTTTAATTTTTTCTTTTTGACTATCTGAAAGATTTATAAGAGTATCATAGTATTTTGTCATTTTTTATATATAAAATAATTTTTTAATTCACTTTAAGTTATTGCTTTCTGTAATGTTTTATACTCATCATCATCTATTTGACCTTGTCGTAACAACTCATCACAAATAGCAACAGTTTCATTTTTAACTCCAGTATTACCAGCTTGTAAAGCAGCTAAGCGTAATTTAAGCATATCAAATAGTGCATTTGGATCACTAGGAAGAATGACAACTCCTTTTCCAGACTTTCCAATCATCTCTTCCCAAATAGGTTTTATTACATTAGTGTACTTATAACATCTAGATGATCTCGGTTTAGCTGAATTTAAATCAGAGCGAATTGCATCAGTTTGATCTAAAATTTCTTTATACTTATTACGATCATCGTTAGTATATTTAACAGGATGAGATTTTACTATGATCTCCCAAAGACCAGGTGTTCCAATGTATTTTTTATCTTCAATAGTTATATCATTACCTTCAATAGTTATTGGTTTTTTACCAATGTAAAATTTTTTATCACCTTCATTGTAATGTATACCAAATATGTCATCTGATACTTTTTTACTATTTTTAGCAGTATATAACTTTAGATATTCTGCTGCGATAGCTCCTAATGACATGTTATTTACAATTTCAGGTGGCATAATTGCTTTAGTTTCAGAATCTAGTAAAGCAGGATAACTTGAAAAAGTATTAGTTAATTGATCAGCTTTATTTTCTAATTTAGATAAGCCTTCTTTTATTCCAGATTGACTATCTATTATTGGTTTGTACAATTTTTCCAAGTTAGTCTGTAAAGTATCATAACCTAACTTTTCATTAATAGAATCTTGATATACACTTTTCTTTAACCCATCAAGTTCTTTTGCTAATTTTAATCTTGCTTCAATATCTGTAGCTTTTACATATGACATTTTATATAAATAATATTTTTTTTAAATCAACATATATTATGTTCAAGTAATACATAATATATGTTTTTAATTCTTAAGAGTATTATTCATCATTCCTATACTTTGATTCTTGTTAAATCTCATATTTAACGCTTCTATAATATCATTTGTACCTTTTTCTGTTCCTTTATTAAATATTGACTCTTTAGTCTGCTTATCTATATCATTTTTAGATTTTGTTCTAATTTGTTCAGTCATAGCTTGAAACTTTTCAAGTTCTGAAAGTATCATATTAAATTCTGCATCATCAATATATTGATCTGATATAGCTTTAGAAATAAGACTACTTATTGTATTTAGTTTTGCATCAGCTAGTACTTTAATCTTTTCATGTTTTTCAGCTTTTATGTTTAATTTTTTATTAACTTATGATCCTATTAAATTTACTGCTCCTATAGCTAATGCAGCAATCTCACATCCAATAGCTACTGGAGCTAATACACCAGTTGCTAAACAACCCACTCCAGCAGCTCCTATTGCCATAGTGCTTGCTAGTAATGAATTATCAACTGCTGAAATGATTCTTGAAGCTCTATGATATTTCTTACTTAAGATCTCTCTTCTTTTCCTTTCACATTCTATTTTATTCTGAATTTCACTAATCTTTTGTAATCTAAAGTTATAATCAGAAATTGGTGGTGCAGATGGATTTTCTGAAAACTGGTTAAGATCTGGATAAAGTTGTTTAAATTCATTATTACATTGCATTCTTTTTCTATAAAGAAAAATTTGTTTAATTCATTTGATAAATCCTTGCTTCGCTAAGTTATTTTAATATTTTTTTATTTACCAAAATCAAATACAGTAGAGTCTTTAGCTTTGTTAGGTTCCTTCGGAACCCATGCTTCGCTAGATTTATCTGAACTAGGTTTATCTTCGTCACATATAGTTTCTTTAATTATTTCTCCTATACTTGTTAATATAGATTTTACAGATTCTTTATCACTTTGAGACCAAACTTGTTCTACTTTTTTATCAAGTTCTAAAGTAACCCTATGTGATATATAATTTGCATTAAAAACACCATTATAAGTTGATATACAGCATAACAAATCTCCTTTTTTAATATTTATATCTCTTTTATTGTTATTATATAAAGTTATTTTAATATCATCAGTAGACTCTATTACAACAGAATTTAATAAATTTAGTGTTGGTTTATAATTTTCTGCAAGTGAAATCAATACATGTCCTTTATCTATTTTAACTCCACACATTAAAGAAATGTTATTATATGAATTAGATTTTACTGTAAAATCTTCTTGTGCGAATATTTTAATATGCCTATCATTTATTGCTCTATGTTCTAAATCTGAATTAATATTAAAAGTTATTGTATATTTTTCATGCTTTTCATAATCTAAAAACATTCTTCTCTTATACATTTTTTTATAAATCGTAAAAAATTTTTTAAATCACTTCGTGATTCTTGCTTCGCTAAGTCATAAATATTAAATATTAAATATTTAATATTTTAAAGTTCTTACAATATAATTTACAATTTGTTCATTCTCATGTAAATAATAACACTTTTTATTATCATTAACATTTTTATATAAAGTTATTTTTTCACCTTTTTTATTTTTCATTATTTTCTTTTCTGTTAATTTAAATAGTTTAAAAGGACAATTCTCTACGTTTTCTTTAATTTCATCTTTAGTATGAGCATATTTACATTTATCTTTTAAAAGACACTCTTTTTTATCAAGAATATGTTTGCATAATTTAGTTTTTGCTTTTCTTAATTTTAATAATTCTGACTTTTTAGGATGAAATAATCTACACTCTTTATTCTTACATTTAGGATATTCAGAACATATAGAAATATGCTTATATCTGCATGAAGCTTTAGTGCATATTAATTTTTCTTTTACAGTATTACAATAAGGAATATCATGATTGTATTTACATTTTCTTCCAAAAGGGCAAAAATCATCTTTTAATATATTTTTACAAGAAATAAGTAATTTTTCTACAAAATGAATTGTAGAAGGTTTTCCATCTTCTGTAAAATTAATTTCAACATTAAATGGTTTTTCAAAACTAAATTTTCTGTTTTTGTTATGTTTTTTAACAAAAAATTTATCTATAGTAGGATAATCATCATCGATATTATCATTGTAAGTTGGAACATAATTAATCCATTTCAGTTTATCTTTATACAATTCCATAATTTGTACTGTTTTTGAAGGAATTGGAACTATACATTTTTCTTGAATTTCTTCTTCATTAGAATCATCAGATACGAAGTATGTATCATTTTCAGAGTCAGAATCAGATTCTTCAAATTCAAAGTTTTTTATTTCTTTAAAAAGTCTAAATTCTTTTTGAAATTCAGATATTTCATTAATCTCATCATAATTCATTTTTATTTTTTATTATTTGATAAAATATTTTAAATCAAAAAATTTAAAATGAGTTAAATAATTTTCTTTTATATATAAAAAGAATGGAAAAGAAACTTGAAGAATTATGCTTTAACTTAAAATTAATAGATAAAAGATTAAGATTAATAGAAGAAAAATCACATATTATTGATACTCATGATATTGAAATGACTGAAGAAGATGATGATGAAGAAGTTACTACAGTTACTACTACTGAAGTTACTGAAATTACAGAAACTACTGAATATGTTGATGATGAAGATGATAATGAAGAAGATGAAGAAGTTACTACAGTTACTACAGTAACTACTGAAATTACAGAAACTACTGAATATAGTGATGATAATGATGATGAAGAATTATGCTTAAAAATAATAAATAAACCTTCATCTCAAATATATCGTGATACTAAAATATTAAAAATGATTGATTTCGCTGTAAGTATAGGTCAATTTGATTTAATTTATTTATTAGTCCAATCTGGACTAAAAGGAACGAAAAAAGCAATTAATTTTGCTGCAAAGAATGGAGATCTAGATATGATTAAATATTTACATAAATTAGGATATAAGGGAACAGAAAGTGCAATAGATAATGCTGCTTTAAATGGACACCATGAAGTAATTAAATATTTACATGAATTAGGATATAAGGGAAAAGAAAGTGCAATAGATAATGCTGCTTTAAATGGACACCTTGAAGTAATTAATTATTTACATGAATTAGGGTATAAAGGTACAGAATGGGCATTTAATTATGCTGCAAAAAATGGGCATTTAGAAGTTTTAAAATATTTACATGAATTAGGGTATGAATGTACAGAATGGACAATTCGTTGTGTTGCAGAAAATGGACACCTTGAAATATTAAAATACTTGCATGAATTAGGGTATAAAGGTACAGAATGGACAATTCATTTTGCTGTTGAAAATGGAAATCTTGAAATTATTAAATATTTATATGAATTAGGGTATAAAGGTACAGATTATGCATTTAATTGTGCAGTAAGTAACCAGATATTACATGAATTAGGGTATAAAGGTACAGATTATGCATTTAATTGTGCAGTAAGTAACCAGATATCAGTATCAGATAGTAACCTTGAAGTAATTAAATATTTACATGAATTAGGGTATAAAGGTTCAGAATGGGCATTTAATTTAGCTGTGAGAAATAAATATATTAATACTTGATACACGTAGTGGCTATAAATTCTAGTAGTGATAAAGTTAAGCAATGCTTCTACTATGCTTAAGTAAATCCCAGCGCATGCGCATAAAAACAAGAAAAATGAGTTAAATAATTTTCTTGTGTATATAAAAAAGAATGGAAAACGAAATGCAAAAAGAAATTAATCCAGCATATTTAAACTTTAAAAAAAGATTAGAAATAATGAGCAAAGATTTAATATTAAAATCTAAAAAATTCAGTAAAGAAACAAAATCAGAACTAGAATCAGAATTAGAATACATAAAGTTAATAATAGAAAATATATATAATAATGTTAATGAAAAAGAATTATTAGAATTAATAAGACCAGAATTATTAATATTAGAGTGTGTAATAATAACAACAAGGGATATGTTGGTAAAAATATGCGATGATGAAAATGTAGAAATATTAAAGTTAAAAGCAGATTATTTAATAGAAATAATAAAAGGAATAATAGATATAATAAATTATTTCTAAATCTAAATAAAAATCCCAGCGCATGCGCACAGATCTGAAGGATCAGTTAGCGCACAAGAGCAATTTGCGATAGCAAGAAACAGCAAGAAAATCACGTGACATTTTCGACAAGAAAATAAAAAATTAACACTTATTTAAAAAAATTCAATTTTTTTCATTTTTAAAAATTGAAAAAATTTATTTCTTAGTTATAATATTTATACACAACATGGATAACATTGAACCATATATTAATATTAATATATGGTTAAAAATATGGTTGAAAATGAAAATGAGCTAGAACCGACAATATGGATGATAATGAACCCTATATTTATTTAAATATAAGGTTGAAAATATGGTTGAAATGAAAATGAGCTAGAACCCGAAATCTTATATGATAAAAATAAAAAATGAGCTAGAGCATACTTGAAAATGAACCCTATATTTAATTAAAATACATGGTTGGAAATATGGTTAAAAAAAAAATGAGCTAGAACCGGCATATCCTATCTACTAAGGTTGTCATGGTTACCTAGTTTCATAGAGACCTAGTTCACATAGCAACAAACTATTTTGGTTGTTGTACTTTTTATACGAGTGCTATATTCACTAAATATAGATTAAATATCAATACAAGGTCATACATTACATAGAAGTCATATTTTTTTAAAAATAGTTGCTGTGGATACCTATAATGCTTAAGAAAAAAAAATTATTCCATACATCCATATAGGTAAAAGGATTTGTAAATATAATCCACTCGGATTTTCAATTGTTTTTTTTTTAAATAACTATTAAATATTAGGTATTTAATTTTACGAAAAGATTCAGGTCTCTTATATTAAAAACAAAAATATTGCAAGGAAAACATGTTTGTGGCATGTAATACCATCGGTAGTTCTGTACAAACAAATGATTTTTTAAATAACTATTAAATGTTTTTAAAATAACTATTAAATATTGTACTATTTGATAACTTTATAAAAAATAGCGGTTAAAAATCCTATAAAAACTTTTTCAAAAAAACGTTTGCCTAAATGTACCTATGGAAAGTATCTGGTTCTTAAGCAGTATAAGTATCCACAGCAACTATATCAAAAAAGTATGACTTCTGAGTAATGTATGACCTCCTATTATTTTTCCTGCTTTATTTAGTGAATATTGCACTCGTAAAAAAAATGCAACTACCAAAATAGGTTGTTGCTATGTTTTGAAGTAACTTTCTGTGAGGTTTTTTTTCGAAGGCTTTAGCGAAGTCAAAAAAAACAACATGTAAATCAGTTCTCCATAAAACATGTAAGTCAGTTCTCCATAAAAAAAAATTCAGAAGATCTTAGACAAAAGTGTGCAAAAGGTAATAGACTTTTTTGCAGTTGTTAGACAGATGTAGTAATCTTTTTAGGTTCACTGCTAAATAAAAGAAACAAAATAATTTCAATGTGCCGCCAAAAAATCAAAATCTTATTTAAAATTTATTCGCTTCTTATATAAAATTTACTCGCTATTTATTTGCTATTTAATCGCTTATTTATAAAACTTATTTGCTATTTTATCGTATTTTATTCATATCTTATTTGCTACAAACCTAACTAACAACTAGTAATAACGATACTTCTCTAATTTATATATCTTTAGATTAACTAATAAATTACTCTCATATAGAGAAATTGTAAGATTTTTCTTAAGATTATTTATACTTTTATCGATTTTCAATTATATTTTATTTTAATATATAAGTAATTCATATTATCAGCTAAAATACTATTTTAAGAAAACATTAAAACATATTACTATTTCACAACTATTAGCTAATTATAAACAAATTAATAATAATATTAACCTAACTACTAAACAATTTCCGTCCGTAACGATCTATTTTATTTGTTTGTCCAATGAATAAATATATTTAACTTAGTATAAATTATACCGTATAATAAAGGATTAAATTAATAATCAAATTACAATTTATTCCTGTATTGCTTATAATTTTTTGATTGAAATAATTAATCATAACTTCTTAAATACTCATTTTTGGACCATATTTCTTGTACGAATATGAATCAGCTTTGATTTATCTTTCCAACGACATATAAAAAATTTATTTAAAAAAAATTTTTGTCTCAAATTATACAAATATAACCCTTTTATATAGGCCTATAAGTACACCTTTCGGAGCACCAGTTGTTAAGCATTTTTTTTTGAGATTTATCACACATTTATGTTCTCTTGAACAAATTTTTACCTTGAAGTTATTTTATTCCTGTTTTGTACCGTATCCTACTGTGCGGCATTAAAGATTCGGTATTATTTAAAGACAGAAGTGATAAATGGGTGTGATTTGACACATTTGAAATTTTATAGAATGACGAAGGCACTTTATTTACAAAAAAGGACGATATTCAAATTATCAAATAAAATTTTAACTATAGCGCTAAGTCATGGTCAAAATATATACATTCAATATACTTGGTCGAATTGCTCCCCCCTTCCCCTCCTTTTTTTTTTAAAAAAAATCATGTAGAAATTTCGCTCTACCATCTTGTTGCTTTATGTTTTGTTTACAGTTCTTACATGTTTCTTTAATTAAAGAATTAAGTTTGAATTTGGCTTGTAATATGAAAGTTGCAAATAGAATTTGTAATCTTCAAACTCATTCAAGTACGCAACCTTGCACCTAGTGTGACGTCAAATCCAATTGTCTTGCCAAGTCTGGAATCTTGCAAACACTGGGCTCAGTTAATGCAAGCCTTGTGACTTTTTAGCAATATGGCGAGGTTGTTGCTAATGCAAAGCTGTTTAGCATGTAACAGCAGTACTTCCTAGAGAAATTAAATTTCTTATTGAAAGTATTGTCTACACTGCAAATAATTTCCCTTATTCAGCTTTGCAGAATGATTGTGCATGAAGTATGGACTCACCGTGAATATGGAATGCTTACGGTGAATCCATACTTTAACAGTATGGATTCACCGTAAATGTTGCTCTGCCATACTTTAACAGTAAAACAGAGCAATAAATATAGAGGAAAACTGTTTTCTCAATAAGTTAATATTTTGAACACGTTCTAGCTGTTTAGTTATATAATATGGTTCGTTAGTTATTTTATGCATTACCTAAACATTTTTTATTATTGAAATTATTGACACACACAAATGATTATCAAACAACTATTAAAGTAACTAAACTTATACCTGTGACATTAGTGGAACATGTGCAGCCCAAAAATGAATAAAATATTGTTAAAACTTGGAACATGTACAGGCTAGTAATAAGCAATTATAATATTATTGTATTGGTTTAACTAATTTCCTAACAAAGAAAAAGAGCCATCATAACATAAACCTGTAAGTTTAGTCAGTCCCTTTCCTTCTTAATAAAACCTACCTAGTCAAGGTGTGCAACCTACAGTTATTGACTATGTCATGTTGCCATAATGATTATTTACTCAAGCATATTAGAATATAAGCTTATGACTTTATAAATTCATCCAGACCATGACACTATTTCAAAATTTGTTCATTTTTACCTCAGTTGCAGTCTATATTAAGTAAATAATAACTGCAAATATCTTAGTTAAAAATAAAGGTGGATTTCAGATATATCGTCATTTAAAATATTGCTGACTCAGCATTTTAGTGAATATCTGAAGCGACTACAAAGCAACTTTAAATTATAGTATCTTCATAGAGGCTTGGCGAAATTTCCTAAACTTTGCTACATCAATTGATTTTTACTTGTGAAATCGAAAAAGTAATTTATAAAACATCATGCTAAAGTGTCTCAAAAAGTTTCTATAAAAGGATTTAAATGTATATTTGAAACGTACAAATTTTTATCGTATATTTGAAATGTACAAATTGAAATGTACAAATGAACTACTTTCAAAATCATAAAAAAGTTTCATGGGATATGATATAAGGTCTTAAGGTTCTCGCGACATAAACCCTGTTAACGTGCCCGAATCGCGTTCGATCGAAGATTTTTGGAGTGAAATTAAAAGATTCCTGTATGCAGTCAAGTGGCAAGCTAAAAATCTCCGCCAACTAAAAAATCGAATCAAGTATTGTATGAGAAAAATCGATCAAAATTGAGTACGTATGCTTAGGGCGAGTATCTTTACAAGTGTTGCCCGTGTTTGGCGACATGGACTAATAAACAAATAATTTTAATTTAGTTTTTTAAAATACAAACGTTTTGTTAATTCGCTTTTTAAATTTAAAAGACTGACAACTCCGTTCAAGAGATATTCACTTACAAAATTTGTCCAGAATTTTAGTTGTAGCATTTTGCCCGAGTCAAATAAAATAAACATAATCGTGTGGTCAAAAAGCTTTTACGAATTTTGTATAAATTAACTAAATTTGTATGAATTTACTATATGAATTTACTAAATTTGTATGAATTTACTAAATTATACTAATTATAAAACAAAGTTTGAATTATTACTTAAAAAAGTTTTACTAAATTCTGTTTAGATTTTAAAACATATAGATTTTCTTTGTGAGTCATTTTTGCTTTATAA